TTAACCCCTTCATGACTGAGCCAGTTTTCAGGTTCTGTTCATAAATGACGGACGCGCTTGTTACATTGTTGCCGTGCGATTCTTCCACGTCAGTGATATACTTTCTTACTAAATGTCCCCGCACATGTTACATGTTGTATGTTAGAGGACGGATCGGGCGTTATCATTATATCACATACGTGTACCTAACGCCTCACTTAGTTTGAATAAAATAAAAAATGAGGAAAAGAAACTAGAAGAAAACACTTTTTTCACAAGTTTTGATTATTATATTTTTGTAGAATTTGTTTATATTAATTATAGTATAACAATATATTTACATATCATTTATATTTTCCTCATTTTGTTTTACACTTTGTAAAAAATAAAAACTTTTTTTTTCTTGTCAGTTTATATCGGTCACGATGACGGATAACTTAACTTTTGTTTTTTAATTTTTGGCTATTAGGCCGCTCCGAACTTAGGAACCGCTAATGGTAACCTCAGAGACTAATCCCGACTTTACTCAGATTCAGGTCTCACTACAAGCTCTTTGATCGGCCCAGACCATCAGAACTGATACATTTCACTCTAAGGATATACATTGTATCTCTTGGGTGAAATGTATCTAAACATCGGGCTCTAAATAGCAGAGAGGTGAGGCGAGTCGCTCCGCTGCCTCTCTGCTCTCTCAGCTGTCACATACCGGAGCGCAGATTGCTGTCCATGTAACGCTTCATTCTCTCATTACTGGAAGGAAGAAGCGTCTACAGAAAGCTTAATTATTTCATGAATGAACGCCGCAATACATCCATTCATGACTGGTGACCGCTGAGAATCGGCTGTTACCGGCATTACAGAGCCCGATATAACTCGTCATCTACAGTGTACGTGGCCAGTCATATAGGCACACTGTACGTCTCCCGTCACGAAGGGGTTAATGCGCATGGAGGTGTGAGGAAGGGAAGCATTGTATGACGTGTAGGGACTACACGCGGAGACGCGCCGGGTCACCTCCTGATCGCACACATTAACCATTACAGCGCCGCGTGTTTTATTGACTAACAGCACTCGCATTGATGGGGGGGTGTTAGGATTTGTAGTTCACAAACGCGACTAGATGGTTGATTTGATTCACCTTCCAGCGCTGGTACTTTGGTTGAAACTTCCTCAGAGCCGGCGGTGTGTATACAGCAGCTTGGAGTTTATATTGATGTGTGGACGCGACACACTAAACATTCATCACATTGACTTCCCAGTATTCTATATCAGTGACCCGCGTGACCTGCAGCCAATCAACTCCCAGCGCGGCTTCTCTTCTTATAACAAGAGATTCTGATTGGCTGCCACAGGAGCCCCATACTACATGAACCCTCCCCCACCCGGCTCACCGTCTTGTTCTACGTAGTCATTGGGGTCGTTGTCTCTGCTGCGCGACGTCACCTGGAGGAGGAAACT